CTTTTCATTGTACATTCCAATTAATCTCAACCAAACTGCAGTTGGGATATTTTGATTAAGTAAAAATCACTTTAAAAAAATACAGCTAACTAACAATAAAACACAATAAAAACATGGTAACAGTTTACGTTCAGTGGATACTCTCCAAAATGGCGCTACGGTGATGAGGAGGAGACGAATTGTTGAATAAAGTCGTTATTTTTGATTTTTGTTTTCTTTGCGTACAAAAATATTCTCGTCTCTTCATAAAATTCATATTGAACCACTGATGGCAGATGGACTATTCTGACGATATCTTTTATACTTTTCTGGACCTTGACAGTGTAAGTTACTTGGAAGTCTATGGGACAGTCACAAGCCTCCTGGTTTTCATCCAAAATATCTTAAATTGGGTTCCGAAGACAAACGAAGCGTTTACGGGTTTGGAACGACATGGGGGTAAGTGATTAATAACAAAATTTTTATTTTGGGGTGGAGTAACCCTTTAATATTTTTTTTTACAAGCCCACCATGTAAAAACTGCAACCTCAGTAAATGTAATACTGTAACACAAAATTATATTGTTATATATATTTATGTTATATTATATTTATTCTTAAATATTATATGAAATTAAAGATTTTTTGAGTCACTTTTACTCGTATGACATTTTGCTATTAAACATTTAGGGTAATCATTTCAGTACTGAGCTTGCACAATGAAATAATTTCCTCTCTCATTCCCAATGGCTTGTGAGTGGACAGTATTTTATACTGTCCACTAATTATTATGTTGTCAGTGTGTATAGAATAGAGAAGATATCATTATCTATCATTTGTATTAACAATAATAGTGGTAGTGTTTCAAATCAAGACATCACGGACCGCCCACGTTACATGTGCTATGTCTGACGCACACGGCATGCTAAACTGGAAACACGTTTATTGATTGGCTCACTTCTACCCTATTTCTGGGAGCCACTCTTATTGTCTGCCAGGAAACAAAGCTGCGTTCATAAAGGCTGTGACAATGAACGCTTCACATGAACAACTAAATGCTGGATTTCAAAAGTTTGTATAACTGCATTTCCACAGCTTTTCCAAATCCAGCATTTAGTTGAATGTGAAATGGATTACAAGAGTTAGCACGGTTTGTTGGAGGCCTAGTTGAATGTACAAGATATGTTTTGCCATGTTTAGCTATGGGAACGTTTGACTGACCCTTTGCTAACACACAAAAGGAATCCTGAAGCATTGCATTTTATTAGGCGGTATCTCCTTTCATATCCATAATGGTCTGTATATAAAGTTTCTCCCTGAAAAGGGAAGATTCTGCTGGTAAATATAAGCAGTAGTGTTGTATTTGGAGAGTTGCGTGTGGACATTGAATAGACTAGCTCCGAACACATATAATAACCAGTGCTTATGAATTTTAGATGGATTACAGTTCTGAGAACACACATTTATGTTTGACATTTTTTTGACACTTTACAAACTTTACAGAAACAACTAATTTTTTTTTTTTTTTTTTTAAGTAAGTAAGGGATAATGTACATCCAGTCGGTTGTTATCACAGAATAAACCCCAACAGGGTGATTAGGATCTGTAAGTGGTTTATCTTGCGGTTATCTCAACTGGCTTATTACATTGTACTTACTCACAGTATTTACTTATTACTGAGTAAATAACCATTAAATATTGATTTGAGTTGAAATATTTTATTACCTCTTTAAAAGAACATTTTCTGCAAATAAAAACTGTGCCTAACTGTTCCTAACCAAACGGCTTTGAGTCTAGAGGAATGAACAAGTTCAGACAAGACCAACATTTAAGGCTTAATGTACAGTTTTATCACTTATTATTACATAGCATTTCACCACATAAATCAGGGGTGGCGAACGTCTGTCCTGGAGAGCCGCAGTCCTGCAGAGTTCAGCTCCAACCCTAGTAACCCTTCAGGCCTTGATTAGCTTGTTCAGGTGTGTTTGATTAGGGTTGAAGCAAAACTCTCCAGGACCGACTTTCGCCGCCCCAGACATAAATAAAGATGAGGACATAAAAAAATTGTAAGGGCTTGGCTAGCCAATTATTGTCAATTAACGATCACTTCTCGTTTGACATTAAAATAGAACCTGCTATAAAATTGAACCAAGTGTTTCAAAAGCACCCATCACTGAAATAATGGTCCAGTAGCTGATACTGATTTAGTGTAATTCTTATTTCTGATATTTACTGCTGTGATAGTAAGATTTTAACCTAGCTTTGCTAGATTTACTAATTTCACTGATGAAAAGCAGACAGCATGTCTACGGCAGTGCAACAGAGCCCTATCGCTCGCGTATACTATTCACTTCACAATCACTATACTGCATATACTCAACACCATTCACTTCTGCTGGCTTGAGCTGAAAGCACTGAACTGCGTTTAATAAGGCAGGATGTGCAGGAGACGTGATAAACATTGTTTATTTATAATCTAATTTTGACATTTTGCGGCACTCTCTTGAAGTGCAGGTTGCTGTAGTCTATAAGGTGGTGTTTCATAAGGACTACATCAACCATAAGGCCTAAAATCAACCCAGTCTCATAAAAATACGTACCTCTGGTTACATTTCTGCAGCACCGTTTTTACGTACCTTACTGCACGTTTCGCCGCAGTTTCAAAGAGAAATGTCCACTGAGTGGCGCTAAAACACGGGTTCAATACGTGAACCCTGGCACGTTTTTATTACGCTGATATAGGTACGTATTGCTGTGATTTATTACGTTGCTCCAGGTACGTATTGCGGCGGTTCAGAATTCAAATATCTGTCGCTAAAAGTTAATGCTCTGTCGTGTTGGAAATATGCCCTACACCAAACCCTAAACCTACCCGATAGTGTTAACAAATGCGAAACTTATATAAAAACACATTTGTTGATGCAACCGTGCCATTTGAACTTCCTTATACACAGATTTGAACAATTTTGTCAAACTGCATGGGATTCAAACCGGAGCTCCTCGCCTCTTAAATATGTCTCAGTACTCCGTGAGCTACCGAACAAACCTACCGTCTATGAAAACCCATAGATATGAAGCTGGATATGTGCGATGCTAACGTTCAAAAGCATCGGTTTTCAAATCACCCAGCATATTAAAATTGTTTTGAAGTCATAACATAATATTCTTCAAGTAAATGTGGGAAGATTACGCTTTATTAATCGAAACTCTGTAAATTTGTGTGAAAAGGAATAAAAGGTGTCGGGGTTTTACTGCCTCTAGTGTTAATTTATTTTGGAAACTGCAGTGATATGTACTTATTGGTATGTATTTCGCGTCTCGCGAAAAAGTGCCCCCAGGTATGTTTTTGCCATGAGACCAGGTAGCCTAAAATAGTGGTAAGATAGTTGAAATTTCAGTTTTGCTCCATCTAATTTTTTGTTTGACTTTTTTCTAGCTAAATTGTATATCATATTGAGCTTTTAAAATACAGATTTCAACAGTAGGTAAAAAGAATATGCACGTTTATATGTATACAGTACATTTATTTGTGGCACAATTACACCTGGGCCCTAAACCTAATGTTGCATATGAAAAGGTATGTACAAAACGATTTTAAACTCTGGGTTTTTTTTGTCCTGACTGCATGATAATTTCACTTTCATAAATTTAGGGATTGATCAATTCAATTGACTATATATATATGTAATGTGTAAGTCATAAAAAACAGACTTATTTTGTGAGCATGTAAACTTTAGTTAAACCAGCCTTGTGTGGTATATTTAACACTATTTTGCCATTACACCATTACTTTTATAATAATGGAACGTGGCCATCAGTTGACCTGATCGGACGGATGGATGGATGGATAGATAGATGAATAGATAGATGGATAGATAGATCTTAATTAAGCAGTGCATGTGTGCTGAGCCAAGTTTCCCCACAAAAGGCCTCTGTGTGGAGTCGTCCATTCAAACACTAGCAGCTCTAGCATCATGCCAAGTACTGAGAAATAATGGAGCAGTTTAGAGGCTCCGTCCCTGTTCACAGGCTCCCTGAGCTGGGAAAATGTTAGTGCAGCGTTCAGGAGGGGCTTTTAATTGTTTTCTCATCTCTCTTTTTCGTTGGCTTTCAAAAGCCTCGGGGCTGACAAACAGGCAATGAACGGGATTGTGTTGTGTTCCGTTGGCCACAGCCGGAGGTAAACACAACGCGCCCCTGTGTTCCCCCAGTGGCCATGGGAAGGGGGAGAGAAGACAGAGATGGAGGCCCTCCGGAAGCCGACGGAGATGGGCATAGGGTGCCATTATGAGAGCTGGCATTGTGTGTGCTGCTGAGATTCTCATGCGTGTCCGTGAAGAGAAGGCCAGGGAGATAAAGCTCTCTCGGATGAAGTGAGTAACGGCTCTGCGCTCCCACACACTCGCTTATTTACATGCTCAAGAGTGAAATTAATGCCCCGCGATCTCCGACAGCGCACACAAAGATGCTCACAAAGCTACCTTAAAGGCCTATTAGAGTCTGGAGTGGAAATGGTGGCTTTGAGGTTTTGAAGTCCAACAGAATGGACATAATGGATTATCTCTCTCACACATCTCTTAAAATCACACATTAGTCAAGCAGTCCTAGTCCTATAAATAAATAAATAAATACCCACTCACACCTGACCCCAGATTCCACTGAAAATTAAATGAAATTTCTATTATTATTTATTTTTTTCATTTTAATTATTACTATTTCATTTTAGTATTACAGGAAAAGAGTTGAAAGACAGACATCTTCTGAGTAAACTGTGCGTTTGATAACAGGTGAGTGTACCTGAGCTTAACGCACTTACAGCTCAATAAAAAAAGAAATAATTTGCCGATTTACATTTTTTTATCATTGTGTGCTTCATACTCATACAGTCATGCAGAAAGAAAGAGAAAAAAAAGAAAGAAAGATGCCAGGAGCAATTTCAAACACATTACATTGAACATATTAGGAAAGCTTTAATGCAAGTATGAATCTATGGCATATGACACACAGATACACAGATCTCACCTGTTCGCCTGCAGGACTCAGGAACGGGTAACTGTTGGTGCTGTCTTCTCGCTCTGCTCTGGTTCTGGCATGCACTTTGGTGAGATGTGACGCGTTGGTAGCGCGCGCGTGCAGCGTTCTGTTTGGATAATCCGGTGCTCCGAGCACATCTACAGTCACACTGAGAGAAGACTACCTCAGTGAGAACACAGGCGATGTTTTCACTCCTCCTGCCCCGCCTCACATCAACCATTCCTCCTATCTCCTCCACACTCTAGAGTGGGCTACCTTGGACTAATTCTACTCGCATTCATCAAATAAATTGACGTTCGCCAGTTGTTTTATAATTGACATGTACCACAGTTAACTCACTTTACGTCTAAAATAACGATGAGTGTGCGTTTAGGAATGTTTAGGTCCTATATGGAAGAATGAAAAGAGGCAAGAAATCGAATGTGTCGAGTGATGAAAGGATGAGGAGAAACAAAGCGGTCTCACGGCAATTAGTGGCGTATTTAAATGAATTTGTAAAATCTCATTCATACCTTTTCCCTCGATGAACCGAGGGTTATGTTAGGAGTGGAGCCTCATGCCTTTTTTACAAATCTGCATTTTTACACCAATCGTATACAAAATGTATACATAATCGCCACCAACTGGCAAATTTGCAAAACAGTTAAGTTAATAAAACTAAATGAATGAATAAATAATCCTAATAGGGCCCCATAGATGTCAATGGAACTTGAAAATGATCTTGTAGCACTATTCAAAATTTGTTTTCCTCAACTAGAATTTGTGACTAGATATTGTTAAAATTAGGCAAATGGCAACAAAACACACACAGTAGCTTTTAAATTATACAACATAGGCTACAAACTAATATAAAATTAATACAATATACAAAGTAATAATTAAATAAACAACAATTAATTAAATGCATTTATATCCAGATCATTTAAATGTGTTATTTTGATCTTACATTTGCATAATTGTAACAGAATATCTGGTCACAAAAAAAAAAAAAAAAAAAAAAAAAAGGTGATCAGTGCTGCAAGCTCCTGCGATTAAAATCAGACTTTAAAGAGTTTTCATGATTACACACATTGTAATCATCTTAAGATACTTGTGACATAGATAGGTTTGACATCCAACTAAAACAACAGCATGACTAATTTAGAAAGTAAGGGTTAGGATTTCATATAAAAATACATGAAATCAGTCCTGGAGCAATCCAGAAAAGTAATGGGTTGAAAGTCACATGTCTCATGAGTTTCTATTTCAAATCCCCCGTTTGAGGAAAAATATTTACCAAATGTATTGAAGGGTTCTACTAAATATTTTAGTCATTAAACATACCACTGCATAGTTTTTCAATTATAAAACAATACACAGCATCTTAGACATCGTATAAGTGATTTATTTGAGCACTAGAAAAATACAATAAGATTCATGTTTGAGTATTAAAAGAAATAAGAAAAAAAAGATTTAACTATGTATGCCAAGTACATCCTCTGATTGCTAGACATACAGCATTCACACTGACAGCTGCTCATGCAGTCAGTAATCACATGCTGATGGCCGGTCATACAGATGGTAATTATACCATATAATTACCATCTGTACATTGTGAAATTAAGTGGTTAAGTGTCCCCAACTAAACAAGTCAGAGGCGACAGTAGAAACTCCATCGGTGACAGAATTGGAGAAAAAAAACCTTGGGAGAAACCAGGCTCAGTCGGGGAGCCAGTTCTCCTCTGGCCAGACAAAACCAGCAGTTCAATTCAAGGCTGCAGCAAAGTCAGATTGTGCAGAGGACTCAACTGGTTCCCATGGTCTTGTTCCGGTGGCTGTCTAGGAGACAAGGTCTTCACTGGGGATCTGTCTCTGGGGCTCATTTAGTTGTCCTGATCTCCGCTGACATTCAGGGCTGTAGAGGTCCTCTCTAGGTGCTGATCCACCTGATCTGGTCTGATCTGATCTGGATACAGACTGGATCTGGGTGGCTACGGTGACCTTGGAATAAGAACAAAACAGACTAATATTAGCATAGATGTCATTCCTCTTATAATGTAATGAGTACATCGGGTGTTATGGGAAGTGTTCCTGGTTCCGGTTGACCTAATTAATGCAGTTTAACAATCCTTTAATGAATTTGAATAATATAATGTTTTAGTGTGTTATGTGTAAGCCAGGATAAAGAGATGGGTCTTTAATCTAGAGCAGATTTAAACTGACAGAGTGTTTCTGCCTCCCGAACAGTGTTAGGTAGGTTATTCCAGAGTTTGGGTGCTAAATAGGAAAAGGATCTGCCACCCGCAGTTGATTTTGATATTCTAGGTATTATCAAATAGCCAGAGTTTTGTAAACGCAGTGGACATGAAGGACTATATAGTGCGATAAGAGCTCGCTCAAGTATTGGAGAGTAGTAATTAAGTAATTAGCAAGATTTTGAAATGTATATGATATTTAATAGGGAGCCAGTGCAGTGTTGACAGAACCGGGCTAATATGGTCATTCTTCCTGGTTCTAGTAAGAACTCTAGCTGCTGCATTTTGGACCAGCTGGAGTTTGTTTATTAAATGTGCAGAGCAACCACTTAATAAAGCATTACAATAATCTAACCTTGAGGTCATGAACACATGAATTAACGTTTCTACATTTGATATTGAGTGCATAGGTCTTAATTTATATATATTTTTGAGATGGAAAAATGGGGTTTTACAAATTTTGAAGCATTTGAAGGAAAGATTGCTATCAAATAGGTTCACCTAGGTTCCTAACTGTTGATGAATTGACAGAGCAGCCATTAAGTGTTAGACAGTATTCTAGGTTATTACATGCGGAGGTTTTTGGCCCAATAATTAACACCTCTGTTTTTTCAGAATTTAGCAGTAAGAAATTACTAGTCATACAGTTTTTTTATATCAACTATGCGTTCCGTTAGTTTTGCAAATTGGTATGTTTCGTCCGGCCGCGAAGAAATATAGAGCTGAGTATCATCAGCATAACAGTGAAAGCTAACACCGTGTTTCCTGATGATATCTCCCAAGTGTAACATTTCAAGCGTGAAAAGCAATGGTCCTAGCACTGAGCCTTGAGGTACTCCATACTGCACTTGTGATCGGTATGATACCTCTTCATTCACTGCTACGAACTGATGACAGTCAGATAAGTATGATTTGAACTATGCCAATGCACTTCCGCTAATGCCAACATAATTTTCTAGTCTATTCAAAAGAACGTTCTGGTCGATAGTGTAGGGATTTCTAAAAATGAACGGACGCTGATATCAGCCATCACAAGGTTTGCTAAATCACCCAGCACCTGAGTCCCATATTCTTGGTCGATTTCCTGTCAGTCTTGTAAACTCATCTACTCATGAGGCTTCGAATTAATTCAATCAGGAGACAACAAAGCTATCTTTTTGTTGCTCGGGGCTCGCTCTCTCACTCTAAAGAACTTTGGCTTTCACCTTGGTGAGCGCGACAAAGCATCCCACGCTGTCCCATCGCACCAGCGAGACCATCTAAGACTCAGCTTTTCAGCTGTCAACCAAGCAAAACGCAAGTACAAACAAACTCTTCAAATCTGCTGACGCTGGTGAATTTAGATAAGCAGTAAAATTAAGACCAATTCTCTGCTTGGTAAATTCTCTAAGGTGAATTTAAATCACTCGTAAAACGAGTTAGAACTTGGAAGCTTCATAGAACCCCGTCAACTCTCATTTGCGTCATCTGAAACTGTATGTGTGTGTATGTGTGTGTTAGTTTAGGTTTTATGTAATCTAGAATAGTCAATAAAATTCATGTTTCATTTATAAATAATCATCGTCTGGTGTCATATAATTTCAAGGTTAAAACTTTGCCAAGATCAACGTTACCTCTCTTAAGAGCTTACAAATTATCATAATTGTGTTAACCCGTGGCCAGGGGGAAAATACAGATACATAGTCAGTTTGTAAAATACAGTATACTGAAATCACGGCTCGCTGGACGACCCTTGATTTAAAGTGTAACACAACAAATTTGAAATCGGTTTAATCAGGTGGACTTGGGATATTCAGATCCGAGTCCTCTCAAAACCTGAATGAATTAATAATAATTAATTCCCTACAATTACAAATGAATAAGTAATTTCATTACAATAGTGTCAAACGCAGCGCTAAGATCCAGTAGCACTAATAGAGAGATAGAACCACGATCGGATGATAAGAGCAGGTCATTTGTAACTCTAATGAGTGCAGTCTCAGTACTATGATACGATTTAAATCCTGACTGGAAAACCTCATAGATACACCGTAGCCACCAGATCCAGTCCGTATCCAGTCCAGATGGTGGATCAGCACCTAGAGACGACCTCGACAGCCCTGAATGTCAGTGGAGACCAGGACAACTGGATGAGCCCCAGAGACAGATCCCCTCCAAAGACCTTGTCACCTAGACGGCCATCAGGACAAGACCATGGGAACCAGATGAGTCCTCTGCACAATGTGACTTTTTTGCAGCCTAGAATTTAATTGCTGGTTTTGTCTGGCTAGAGGAGAATGGCACACTATTTCGACACACTATTTCCCTGTTTAATACTGTAAAGCTGCTTTGACACAATCTGCATTGTAAAAAGCGCTATATAAATAATGGCTCAACTTGACTATCAAATACGATACTATTTGAACTGATCTGAGCTGGATGATGACATCACTGAATCAATGATGAACTGACTTTAACTGAGTGTTAATTGAGTGTTTTCTATTGTCTTCTTGCATTATTGACACATTATTTCCTGTTAAATACTGTAAAGCTGCTTTGACACAATCTGTATTGTAAAAGTGCTATAAATAAAAGTGACTTGACTTGTTGTCTGCAGTGTTGTGTTCTTTTCTCAGCCTCGATGATATTTTAACACTAGTCAGATTTAGTCAGATTTTCATACTCTTTCAATCACATAAATTGTGCGTTTACATTCCATCTCCATTATCACGAAACACAGAACAAAAACAGCTCCAAACATGATGTCCTCCATTCACGGGTTGTTGATCTTAATATAGGCTAAAACTCTGAATTTATGTTTTGTTTTGTTTAGTTTTACTTTCTTTAGTGCTTTTTAAGCACTTGAGTTGGTGCTCACTTTGTAAAGTTGTTGCAGTCTCTTCTAAAGCTTTATATGAGACAATATGAGACCCAAGAGTCTTTAGTCCAGAAGAAAAATCTGAGC